AAAAAAATCTTGCGCCACATTGATTTGTTTATCAATTATTCTTTCTAGTCCTTAAACTTTTAGGTCATATTTAGTTAGTAGTAGTGATTATTTTAATCAAATTATGAAAACAAAGTAAATTTAAAAATTTTTCTTAATAGTCTAAGAATAACTAAACCTTAATGTTATTAAGTTTCTATTAATATATGGGATGAATAAGGAATATTTACTTCTTCCCTTAGTTATTTCAAACTTTTCAAGAAAGTTTCTCAATTTTATTTTTATTTTATTTTTTTGAAAATAGGCAATGGATTCTCAATTTTAATTTGTTTTTATAATTTAGAGTAAATACCGAATTTAATCCTCAACTTTTACGATAAATACTAAATATTAATCTCATCCTTTTATTTAGACCAAAAATAGTCTTCAATCTTTTCAGAATTACTAAATTTAATCCTATCCTTAGTTTCTTCTGTTGAGTTCATAATGAACATCTTAATTGAAATTTTGGTAGGTCTAATACAAATTTTTATAGAAATTTTCTTTTAATTTTCATTGCCTTAAATTTTTTTATTAAAATTTGAATTCTTTATACCCCTTAACTCTTTTCTTTTTCTTAATGTTTGGATTTTTTTTTCTTTCCAAATTAGGGTTTATATATATCTTATAGGTTGAAATCCTATAATTTAACGTGAATTTTTATTTTATATTTTTAGTATATTTTTTAAGTACTTCTTCTATTTCTGAATAATAGACATTTTTTATTTTTATCTTGGACTTAAGGATTCGGGGATAATTTCTATTTTTACCTATTTTATCCTTAAAAAATAAAAATAAATAATTTTTTATGATATAATAGATAATTAAAATTAAAAGATAGTTATAAGTTAAAATATGAAAAAATATTTATTTCTCTTAAAATATGAAAAATTGACTATTATTCTGTGACAAATTTTAAATTAAAAATTATCTATTATTCTGAGATAAAAGAAGTAATAATTTAGATGACAAACAAATTGTAATTAAAACTTATTTGGGTTATAAAATTCATTAGATTGTTAAATTATCAAGTTATATCAAAGGTATTTAGGATTGAAGGAGGGGATTTGCATTAAATTTAAGGCAAAAAATATGAAATATGATATTTGAAGTTTTTCCAAAAAAAAAAAAAGTGTAGATATATGATTTTTTTTTTTGGAACAGTTTTACAAATATACCTACCATACTATGGGGATGGGGAAGGGGATCAACAGGGAATCAATTATCTAACTTGAGGCGGTGTTCCCACTAAAAGGTAGGCGACAAAGCTCTTGATTAGGCACGAGGAAAATGCAAATATACGAATTAATTGTGTTAAAAATTAAATATAGATTTGGTGTTAGAAAAAAAAATGGTCTAGCAATTTTTTTTTTTTTAACTATTTAATGTTTTGGTGGCTTTCAAAACTCTAAGTAGGATTTTCATTAACAATTTAATGAAAGTGGCTAACAATAAGAATAAAATTAACAATTTAAAAAAAAATTAAGATATTTTTTGTCCAAATAAAAAATTAGAATAATATTTAATATTTATGATAAATATTAAGAACTAAAATCTAGTACTTACCCTGTAATTTAACTAAAAATTAACTACTACTGCCAACCATACAAACCCTTTAACCATTTCTCTACTAAATCCCAAGGTGAATTCCCATCCCAAGGTGAAAACTAGCATTTAAGGAAGTATAAAAGGATACTAAATTAGCCTGTGAAAAATTAAAACGTTTTGAAAATTTTTTTTAATCAGCAATAAACTAGTTTATATTTAAAAGAGTAAAGGGGTACGCATCCATATAAAAAATAAAATCTTCCCACGTGTATATTTTCAAAGGAAAATAATTAATATAAATTCAATTCAATATATTTTTTAATTTTTAGTCATAATTTAATTATTAAAATATAATATAAATATAGTTAATTCTTATATCCTATATGTATAGTTATATTTTTAAATTTATTTATTTTTAATTTTAAATTAAAAAATAATAAATTTTTAATAAATTTATCTATTCCAAAACATTTTCATGTGATGCTCCTGTCACAACACAGCATTGAGTATATAACATCCGGTCAAGCACCGACTCACATAAGCTCTTTGCTGGGCAGGGGTAACACATGGCGCCCCTGGCAGTTACCTTCTTGCCCATTTCTCTATGGAAAATGATGTGTGCATATCCAGGTCAACATAATCAAAATATCAATAATAATAATAAGATTAACATGTAAGAAAGATTTATTAATAATATTTGAATAACTTTTATAAAAAGACTAAATATATTTTAAATAGCAAAACATCTTAATTTTTATTTTTATTTTTTTACTTTAATTCATATAGCAGCGTTATGTAACAATGACGATTAAGTAAAAGTTGGCAACTAAACACAAATTCATTGGAAATCACTGCTCTGTGCGAACTGAATCCTCATATTCACTGTTGCAATTGCATATATTATTCATCCATTGTTAACTCTAGTCCTTTTCAGTATTTCTTCAGTGTGCTATATACCCTATTTATTTCAAAATTGCTTCACCCCTTCACCATCCAATCTTTGTTGGTTACACCAATAATGTAATGAGAAACAACACCTACCCATGGTCCTTGCTTTTTAGCCATAAAAAATTCCTCAATTGAATAAAGAAAATTAAGTCTACTAATCCTTTCTTTTTTTCCTTTTTCTTTTCTTTTTTTGGCCAACATGCACACTCTTTTTCTTGATTACGTCGACAAACCATATATGTCCACACAAAGTGTGTATATAAAGCCCCCTCAAAACCCTTCTCCTCACCACAATTCATGAGTGAGTAGCTGAGAGAGAGGAAGAAAAAGCACTTATCCTTCTTTGTACTTTCATAACCCCCAAACTATTATCATTCCATTGCACAAACATGGCTGCAATGATCAACGAGCAGTTGGCGTTTGCATTTGGCATCTTAGGTAAATGCTAAGTACCAATATTTCTTATTATTCTCGAGAGTCATCTTCTATATACAGCTCCTTACTTTAGCTGTCTACGCTTTGCAAACAATAGAAATTAATTAATAGGCACCCTTTTTCATCCCTTCAAACGATTTTTATCATTCATATGGTTGAAATAAAACACTCTTTTTCACCGTCCCCTAACTCTTGATCCTTTAATTATGTTTCAAATCCTTTTGGGTTCTGCTAAGAGCTCCAAAGCTGGACACAACCTTTCTTTTATGAGACCGTGATTCATTTTAGTCCTTCTCTCCCTTGATTTTTCTTTTTCATGACTAATTAATTTTCTTTCTTTTGGAGTAGTTCATCCCAATTTTTGGTTTCATTTTCACCTCGTTTATTTTCTTCCTCTTTTTTTTTTTTTGGATCGGTGTTTATTTTCTTCCTCTTGAAACATATGCATTAGTGTAATTTCAGTTCTCTCCGGGTAATTAATAGATTTTTTTTAACTGGAAAAGGAACATAGCCATATTAATTATTTTGGAACATATAGGATGAATGACTCGCCTTCCTAACCATAGCATACGCACTTGCAGTAGCTCGAGTGGCAATAGTTACTTAAGGTTGCGTTTGGTTTACTGATTTTACTGCTATTAGTTATTCTTAACAATCAAACCAAATAAAACCTATGTCCCCTAAATTTTACTGCTAGTTTGGGAGTTCCAATCCCCTTCCTCCAACCTCGCCTCTCTTGCAACCAAGATTAAAAATATATAGATAGCATATAATTCATGCATGATAGAAATTGCTAGTATTTCCTTTTGTAAAGAAAAATTTTCAATGAACATTAAATGACACTAAAATTTTTTTTTTTTTCATAATTTCTAACTAAAAAATTTATTTGCAAATCACATGACAGGGAACATCATCTCAGTCCTTGTATTCCTGTCTCCAGGGTAAGTACTAATTCATTAATTTCTCCAATGCTATAATTTCCTTTTCTTCACGCAATCTTTAATTACGATCTTTATTTTCTGAATTTCTTCAGGCCAACATTTTATCGAATTTTCAAGAAAAAATCGACGGAGAGCTTCCATTCCTTGCCTTACCAAGTAGCATTATTCAGCTGCATGCTCTGGCTCTACTACGCTTTGCTCAACGGGATGTCTAGTGCTCTGCTTCTCATCACCATTAACTCTTTTGGATGTGTAGTAGAAACAATATACCTCACCATGTTCTTTTCTTACGCCTCACGGCAAAGCAAGGTACGTGGTACAATAATTTTTTTTGGTACTTAAGATGATGAACTACATAATAATAATAATAATAATAATAACATCACTCAATCATGGTTCTAATCTACATGAGTTTCGATTTTTTGGACACAGATTTCCTCGATGAGACTCTTCGCTTTCATGAACGTGGGCCTATTCTCTTTAGTTCTTATCGTCACACAACTTGCCATCAGATCAGCTCCAGCTAGAATCTCTGTTCTTGGATGGATATGTGTTGCCATTTCTGTCAGTGTCTTTGCTGCGCCCTTGAGCGTTATGGTGAGTGTTCAATATGAAAAAGTAGTGGGAAATTGTTAAAACTTCATTTTCATCCATCACAAGTCACCTCTTTAATCGCAACCCAATTTTTGTTTTTATTGTTACACTCTTACATGTTGCATCATAGTGATACCAATCATACCATGGGCCTGCTTTCGCGCTCCATAGACTGATTAACGATAAATTAATATTTAATCGTTACTAGATGTGTTTATAGAGACTTTAATTCTTTGTTAATTGTTTCAGGTACGAGTTATTAAAACGAAGAGTGTGGAATTCATGCCGTTCAATCTATCATTCTTCCTAACATTAAGTGCGATTTTTTGGTTTGGCTATGGAATGTTCAAGAAAGATTTCTGCGTTGCTGTAAGTTAATAATAATAATTTGTGGAGAAAATCTTCTAATTTCAATTGGTATTCTGCTACATATATTGATGATTTTCATACTCAACTCTATTGTTCAGCTTCCTAATGTTGGAGGCTTCATCTTGGGGATGCTTCAGATGATTCTGTATGCAGTGTACAGACACAAGAAGGTTGCAGATGCGGAGAAGAAGCTTCCAGAAAACACAAAGAACGTCGCGATGATCAGCAAAATAGTCCCCAGTGAAACTTCTATGGTGGATATAGAAGGGTTTGTTAATGGAGGTGATGCAAAGGAAGAAGATGCAGAAGAGAGAGAAAAAACAGAGACAGATAAAAAGGAGGAAAGAATAGACGCTTCAGGAAACCAGAAAGAATGCCCAGTTTGATATTAGCTTATTAATCGTGATTTTGCCCTTTCTTGTTTCTGGCTCCTTATTTTTCTATCTTTACTAAACCTCCCTCTCTACGTGTCTATTATTACACAGAAAAATATTGGGCTACTAAATATAAATTGCATTCACTATGTTTAGGCCTCATGTTGTTATATCAATATTTGGTATGTATTATTATTTGGAGATACAAGAATGGTTTACCTCAGTTTTTGAAAAAACTAAACTACTTTTGTTTGTATTGTCAATTCCTTTGAAGATGGATGTATATATCACAACCCACTTTAGATGGGCTAAAATCAATATTTAGCCCTTCACCTTACAAAATTGATAGGTTTTAGCTCATAACCTTATAATATAATATTTTTAATCTTTTACTTTACAAAATTGGTAGATTTTAAATTCACTTTACAAAGTTAGTAGGTTTTAATCCCACCTTACAAAATTGGTATGTTTTAGCCCCTCATCTTATATTGTAATACTTTTAACCCTTTATCTATACGAATTGAAGAAAATGACCCTTATTTAACATCAAGTTTTAATGTTCTATTAGTTCTATTAGCTCTATTAGCTGACTGTCAGTTTTATTAGCTGACTATTAATTTTGTTAGTTGACTGTTAGCTGACTGTTAACATCCGTTAGCATTCCGTTATAAAAAAATATAAAATTTAAATTCAATTTTATTTATTAGTTTCATTAACTGAATGCTAACAGATGTTAACAGTCAACTAACAAAACTAACATAATGTTATAACCTGATATTAGGTGAGGGTTATTTTCTTTAGTTCGTATCAGTGATAGGTTAAAAATATCATAATATAAGGTAAAGAGTTAAAACTTACCAACTTTGTAAAATAAGGAACTGAATATACTAACTTTGTAAGATAAAGGGTTAAAACTGTCATGTTATAAGGTGATGGGCTAAAATCTTCAATTTTGTAAGGTAAGGAACTAAATGTTAATTTTTACCCTTTAGATGGGTCCCTAATATTCTGGTGTCATAGACATGGTTCCTGAAGAAGTAAAATAACAGTCAAAGATGTGGGCAGGCATTGATATAAAAGGGGAGAAAAGCATAAAACGAAAATCAAGAAAAAGTTGAAGCCCCTACCAGAACCAGTTGTGGTAAAGCAAATCATGAATAAAAAAAGAAACTGGTTCTAATCAGTTAGGCAGGAGATGAATTGTGTTTAAGTTAACCTCAATTGGTTGTGGAATGCTTCAAGAAGAGTACAACATGCTGCAGGCAACGTAATCGTTCCAGGATAAGAACCCTACATGAGCAAGAAGAATAACATTGGCCTGGATCATTGATGTGTTCCAAAATTTTATAAATACATCTCGTTTGATCTTGCTCTTCTTGTTCTAGTTCATAATGTACACTCTCCATGGTACCCTTCATTGTCATGCTATATGTGATTTAATGAGGTAAAACAAGGATAAAGAGAAGTATCCAAAATGTGTTACAAACATGTCAGCATCAAGTTTCTTACAATGAGCACCATCGATAGCTGATTTTGGTGAACCAGATCAGAAATGAGCTAGGAATGTTTCTTTGGTGAGAGATGGTGCCCACCATTTTCACCAGGAAATACTATCCGTTGGAACCATCAGAACTGCCTTGTGTACTTTGTCGTCTTTTCTCTCGCCAATTTTCCCCCCACATCTTTGCCTCAGCTACAGCACGTTCTCTATCAAAATCCCGGTTCATCAGCCTGGCAGTTTCTCTTGGAGAGTCTTCCTTCTCAAATCCTTCCAAGTCCCACTTTTGGCCAGATCCTCCCCCTTCCTCGTTCCTTAATATCCTAGCAACTCTGTCGTCTCTAACTCGTTTCTCTTCTTTTTCTCCAGAACCCCTGTGGCCGTGCCCTGCTGTACTAGGATCATATGCATGGTTTGCCAAATAAGAGAGAGCAGTGACTACATCCCCAATTAATGGACGAGTAGCAGCCTGTTCTTGGATGCACATGGATGCCACAGCTAAAGCTTGGTAGAGGCCTCGCATTGGATAGCGTCCCTGTAGTCGAGGATCTGCCAATCTTGAAAATTTCCGGCGGTCATTGAATAATGGACGTGCCTGTACATAAAGAAACCAAACTAACACTCAATTAGTACACAAACATAGCCTCTGGTTTCCACACACAACACACGTCAGGTAAATAAATTGCACACAGGCATGTAGAGACATTTCAAGTTCATTACCCACGTGACAAGATTCTGCTCCCCCTGAGGTCGTGTGCTGTCAATGGCTTGACGTCCAGTGATGAGCTCCAAGAAGACTACCCCAAAACTGTAGACATCAGATTTTACCGTTAATTGTCCTGTCATGGCATACTCAGGAGCACAATAGCCATATGTACCCATAACCCTGGTTGAAACGTGTGACTTGTCTCCAACAGGACCAAGTTTTGCAAGTCCGAAATCAGATAGTTTTGGGTGAAATCCTTCATCCAGTAAGATGTTGGATGACTTAAAGTCCCTGTAAATAACAGGAGGGTTGGCTTTATCATGTAGGTACTCCAAACCTTTAGCTGCACCTGCTGCTATCTTCATTCTGGTGTTCCAATCTAGTGGTTCCTTATCAGGAGGAAGATCTGCATAAAGATTAGATGAATTGTTAAGTTAGGAATTATTTTCACTATTCAGCAGAGTTAATTTTTAATTTAAGAACCATCTACTAGCTAAAATCTGTTTAGTGATATGAAACTGCAAAGGCTCATATGCACTCATCTACATCTGACTATCTACATCTGACTAAAACCAGAAATTATTCAATAAGAACATGTTACATCGCTACATTGGTAAGTATGTTAGTGCATCAAAGAATTAGAAGTTAGAAGCTTCAGGACTACAAAAAGCATATGGAAACATGGAGGTCATACACGACGGATCATGCTAAGAATCTTGTGTTATAGAAAAGAAAACTGGGCAATCTGGACTTGTATTGACTTGGCAATTTATATGAACTACTGCAAGGAGGCCCAAGCCAGAAAATATATATCCAAGATCTATCCACTATCACAAGCAGAAATTAATATTAGCTTTTCCAGCATATAACAAAACAACAGCACACTGTCTTAAACAAAGAAGGATATTATCTAATCAGCATGCAGTTAAACACTTAACAAGAACTCATCTTAAGTCATCTAGTCAACAAGAAAGAAATTAGAGAATGAGAATGCCAAAAAAATAATAATAATAAACAGATTAACCAGATTTAGCACTTGTAACTTGATTATGGATGTATAATTGGATACTAAACTACATCAGTTACTATTTATGAAAATACCAGAATGATATAACAGCTTCAATCAGGTTGTTATCATCAGCCATCCAATAGCTCAAAAAAAGATGTAAAGGGCAGGGACTTAAACTTCCTGACACACAAATGAACTGCACGAATGCGGAGCTAAGGGCAGAACATGAGCATTTATAAAACGCTTAAATAACTAAACATTACCTACAATTCACATCATATGTTCTTAAGGAAGTACTTGAATCACTTGTCAAGACCAGATCAAAATTTTAAAGGTTTAAAGTAAATAACAAAACAATTAGACAAAGAAAAGTGCAAAGTACAAAAGATAAATAAAATAAAAACATGCATTCCAAAGTCATCTATAGACATCATAAAAAATGCCTTTTAGAGACAGAATAATTATTCATCTACCACATAAAGAGACAAATGAGAGAGAGTAAAATAAAGTCCTTATCTAATTCTGATTGATACCTTAATTACTTGATTAGAGTGGATCTCATCTCACCCAATTGGCAATTTACCAAAATTCATGCTATCAATTGATTAGAGAGATAAATATCTTCAACCAAAATCATTTAGCACCCTAATGTCCTTTCCTACATGTCAAAGTGGGTTCTAGCATATACAATCCCAAAGGGCCAATAGTATGATTTCCGAGGAAGAAGAAGAAGAAAAGCTTCAATGCCAACCATCCATACTTTAGTAAGTGTTAAAATTCATGTAAGCAAATAACTTGGCTAAGACCTTAGTCTGCTGGCACAAATGATATGGTGCAATCAATACTTACCATGAAGGTGGTCTTCTAATGATCCCAAAGGCATAAATTCATAGACAAGAAGCCGCTGATCCCCATCAGCACAATAACCAATCAGGTTCACCAAGTTAGGATGATGAAGAAGGCTAAGCATGAGAACCTCCACAAGGAATTCCCTGTTACCTTGGAGACCATTTCTGTCCAATTGTTTGACAGCGACAACCTGCAAAGGCAAAATACATATCAAAAGAATGAAAGAACAAGCTTTTCTGGCAAAACAGGAAGAGCTACAAAACAAAGAAAAGTCAAAAACAGTTCAGTGAAACTAAGAAAGTATGATATGAGTTATTGTAAACTATTATACTTGATTTCTGCTTCTAATAAGAAGCTGAGTGCTGACAAAGCAATACAACCTTCAATTTATGTAATTTAAGGTGAAAGACCTAAGATCTTTCAAGTTTACATGAACAAGCATGGTACTGTGTGAAGTGCCATGATTTTGAGAGAGATAGAATGAGTAGACCAAAGGAAGATTACATTATAGCCACAATCACCCACTTTCATGTTTCTTCTCTTTCAAAGATCATAGTTTACTGATGTTGGAGTAATGGTTATGCATGTAGCAAAAAATTCAAGCAAAGATGTACCAACATCTGCTACGTGTCACAAAAGCACATGAAAAGTTTTAACAGAAAAATCACATTTCATTACCTAGGGTCCAAGAAAATAACAACACTCTCTAATACTGGAGGATCAATGAAGTCATGTAGCAGAAACAGCCACAGTTAGGGTAAGCAATTAATGAAATTAAGTTTCAGTAAACATTGTTTCAGTTGACAAAATATTATGACTGAAAAAATAATAGATACACCCAAATCCAACAATTCTATTGCTTCAATCTTGTATTGTATAAAATTCTATGAAATTTAGGGTTTTGAATGGGAGGTGGTCAGCTAGCAAAAGGCATTGTTATTCAAAATTATAGGTTTTAGATAATGAGTCCAAACAAATGTCAGTTGCTGATAGTTTTACAATCTAGAACACTAAGAAATTTTGATACTAGTTACTTTGAAACATTACTTCTTATGCTCTGGATGTATAGTACACAATTTGAGAAATTCATTTATCTGAATATATTCTGAGCATTCATTTTTCTCTCAACCACTACATCTTTGTACATTAGGCTCAGTTGATGGGTTCCACATTCTTATTGAGAAAAGATTGTAAACATGGTTCAACAAAAAAGAGAAGGCCTAAAAGTCATTCCTCATTAATCATGGTATGATTCATAGCTTAATTCTTCCATTCACGTTTAATGGTTTGGATATTTTGAGGAACAAAGAAATAAAGATGATTGAATTTACCTGTCCAGTGCTCTCAAGCCGTCCTTTGTACACACGTCCAAATCCCCCTTCACCTATGAAACACTCAGGTCTAAAATTCTTTGTTGCTGCAGCAAGCTCGCGGAAAGTAAAAGTTTGAGCAGCAATTTGGACACCAGGTCCAGGTGCATCCCTGGGAGCTGGCAATTCCTTCTTAGACCCCACATTGCTTTTTGATCTAAGTTTCTCCCCTCCTGCCAATTTCATTAAAACAAGTCATTGCTAAGTACACTTTAACTAGTATGATTGAAGGAAAACTCGAATGATGGTGAAAATAAACTTCATCAAACTTAATTTGAATGAAATTCACCATACAACTTGAAAGCAGATGATGGACTCTGGCTGTTGAACTTAATGAGAATATATTTTACAAATTAGAATGGCACAACAACAAATCAACAGCACAAATTACTAACATCTATAATCAGAAATTCATTTAAATTACAATTTCTCAACCTCCCAACTTAATAATCCGATCCACCCAAGCAATGAAATTCATATGAGATCCCATTACCTTCTACAAATGTATTATAACACCACAAAAGAAAATTTCACGTTGCAAAACTCTATCAAAATAAATCATGTAATATTACACTACAAAAAGGAGCCAGAATTTAATAATAGTTCTATTACATCATTATGAAGTTCATTACAAACAATGATGAATCAGAAGGACCCAGATCAGATCAACAAATAATAAACTCAAAATGAAAAAAAGGAGGTTAATCAAATAGATTGGCAAATAAAGAAAAACATACTAACCAGAAGATAATCTGGAGATATTAGAGGAGGCCAAGGATTGGCCTTGCTTTCGATCATCATTTTCCTTCTCAGGATTCAGCGTCTCCTCCTCCCTCGAATCGAAACAAGAAAAACAACCCATCTCCTCAAAATCAAACCAAACA